ACATCATTACTGAAGTACAATGAAATAATTAACTCCTATGCACCTAGTTTATTTTACTTTCAAAAAATACAGACTCATTTAAGATTTAGAAACGATTGCAATGATGTATTTGTAGCAAAAGTAGTTATGAGAGGAAAGGTAGGTAAAACAAATTGTCCTATACTATTTAAGCTAGAATTTCCTTATTCTCACCCACACCTGGACAAATTGTCTCTTATAACTTCCACTATCTATTAGAGTTTTTGCTTTTAAAAACAAAATTTATATTCCTAAAAAATGCAAATATAAAAGTCGATAAGTTTTTTTTTTTTCCATTTCAATATGGATCTGATTTTAAGACCTTATTTTCAAATGGCTCTCTCAGTGCTTTTGTAGGTAAAAGCCAAGAATTAAGAACAACCCTCATCTTGTGTGTTAGATAATACCACAGAGAGTTTCTCTATCCTCAGCTTTAACTCCCATCTACTGACTAGACCTATTTAAATTGCCTAACCTGTTTAATGAGCTCCAAAAATAAATGTATATTATAAAGAAAATCAAAGGACACCCACTATTTACAGAGAAATGACACAGAGAGGGCATTTCTTCAATATGTGACCTAAATAACCCAAATCAGATTTAATTCAATATGGGAATCTGGGATTACATCGGCGCTGTTATCTGGGTCTATCAGCAATTGCAATAACATCTTTAAACAATGGCACAATCTTGGATAGTCCCTGTCCTAACAAAAATGACTTCTCCACCAGGAAAGAAATTAATTGATCCTTGTTCTCATTTTTATGACAAGGAATTAAAAACAAATTTTTAAATATCAAATGCAGCTTCCATGGAATGTTGCAGCTATTTCTGAATTAAGAAATGAACCAGTTAGTAGTTATATATTTCTGACAGTGCTGAAAGCAACAACATGCTCCTAATGATATCATTTCACATACAGACCTAACACATAGGCTGAGATGCATCTGGAAAGGCATCCCATAGAAACTTCGATTTTATCATTACAGATTCATTCTTTAAAAATTCAGATAGGGCCTGGCACGGTGGTTCTCATCTGTTATCCCAGCATTTTGGGATGCCGAGTCGGTCGGATAATTTGAGGCCAGGAGTTCAAGATCGGCCTGGCCAGCATGATGAACCCCCCCTTTTAACTAAAGATACAAAAATTAGCCACATGTGGTGGTGCATGCCTGTAGTCCCAGCTACTGTGGTGGCTGAGGCATGAGAATTGCTTGAACCCAGGAGACGGAAGTTGCAGTGAGCTGAAAATTGTGCCACTGCACTTCAACCCAGGCAACTGAGTGAGACTGTGTCACACACACACACAAACACACACACACACACATACATCAAATAATTCTGGTGAGGTGACTCAACCTGCCAAGACTCTAGTGCAGGTGGGTTTGTTCAGGTGATTTTTGACAGATGATGCAAGGTAGCAAGAGATAAAGAGTAACTTGGAAGGTATGTTGAAAGGGGTAGATAGATGGGAAACATGGCCAGAAAGGAGATGCCAGTGATAATTTCATAATGAACATGCTAGCTAAGGCCAGACATGGCTATTCCTCCCACCTGTTGCCACTCACTGAGGTCATAGAATGTCCCTGAACCTGGTGATAAGAACAATGATGAGGGAAGTAAAGCCAAAAAGATTGTTCACATTTTCTCTTCTGATATTGGACATGGTTAATATCTATAGTGGATATAAATAATGTAAGATAGTTGATAGCATAAGATCAAGTGTGTCAAGATAGCAACACTCTAAGAGGGGAAAGAGTTATACTTCTAAAGAGCTTAATATTGTCCATGTATTTTATATATATATATATGTTTATATATATTTATTTTTCTGATAAACAAAAACTCTTGAAACTCATGATGTACAATGTCATCCTCCTAGTAATGAATACTGTGGGGTCCTGAGGTATTCTCAGCTCACGAAAATTTAGTTGGGATAGCTAAAATATTTCTAAAAAGCAACATATTAGGCATTCCTTTGCATCATTTCCCTACTTGAAGATAGAGTTTTCTTAATGCTGAGGGTTGAGTTTATGCTGAAGAATTTGATTCTTGCAAACTTATTTTTACAGTGAGAGGACAATTGTCTGCTGACAATTCAACATTCAAAGGATGAGTGTATGACATCTCCAAGAGATATCATAAAGTACAGGTAGAAGGGACTTTTTATGGAGGTAGGATCTAGAATAGGACAGTCGTATTTAATTGGTGAATCTTGTTGTGATAGTCTAGAAGTAAAACAGAAAACCTGGAAATGATTTGGGAGGAATACGTTGATGTCAAAACATATGAGACCTTTTCTTTGTCTCCTTTAAAAAAAAAAAAAAAAACTCTTTTTCATTCATGTGTTTCTTTTTTTCTTTTTCAGAACTACTTCTCAAATCGCTAGTCACATTCTGGTAGAAGTCAAGCAATGAAGATGGTGTAGAAACACATTCCAAATACTATGATTCCATAAAGTATACTGTAGCAGTGCATCTGGCACACCCTCGTTTGAACATCTGTCTCAGAAGATTTTGACAAAAAGGAAAGCGGTCTCATTTTTATTTCACATGAAAATTTATTTCACTGGTTTCATGTCACAGGCCCATGACTGTACAAAGAGCCATAATCTTTACAAACACAACAATGACTCACAGAGACATGTTGCAAAGCTATAATCCAAAACACTGGCGTTAATTTTGGAGGCCATTAATGGTGTTAAGAAGCTGTTTTTAACCAAATAATTGAACACTCATAGTTACTTTTCAGTTCTTTTTTTTTTTTTTTTGAGACGGAGTTTCACTCTCGTTACCCAGGCTGGAGTGCAATGGCGCGATCTCGGCTCACCGCAACCTCCGCCTCCTGGGTTCAGGCAATTCTCCTGCCTCAGCCTCCTGAGTAGCTGGGATTACAGGCACACGCCACCATGCCCAGCTAATTTTTTGTATTTTTTTAGTAGAGATGGGATTTCACCATGTTGACCAGGATGGTCTCGATCTCTTGACCTTGTGATCCACCCGCCTCGGCCTCCGAAAGTGCTGGGATTACAGGCTTGAGCCACAGCACCTGGCCACTTTTCAGTTCTAATTCAGTTCTTGACACCAAAACGGACCATTTTCTTCACGTAGTGAATGCATAACTTGCCAATAAGAACTTCCAATACTAAACTTCTATGTAAAACAAAACGTCTCAAAATCAGTAACTACTTTAATGGAATGGTAAAGAATTTACTTAAACACAGAGGAAGGTAAGTATCTCTGCAAACGTGTCTATTAACTTTTCAAATTTGGTGACTTCTTTCTAATTAATTCCTTTACCTCTGTTCCTCATCCACATAAAAATGACAAAAATGAAAGAAAAGTTTCAAGCCTGTAATTAAATTGCTCCATTGTTGGTACATAATCTGTTTTTTTTAATTCATTTTTCAGTTGTCATAATTCATATGAAAATTATTAAAAGAGTTGGTTGCCTTTGAGGACCTTATTTAGAGCCCACTTTTTAAAAATTATCTAAAAATAATTGTGGTTTTTAAGAGACAATTGGAAATTTGAACCTGACTACATACTTTATGATATTATGGAATTTTATTAAGTATTTTCTAGATGGAGAATGGCATGATGATTTTCTTAAAAGAATGTGTGGATTGCTTAATACGTTTCAACACTGTCTTAATCACCAAATATCTGCTGGATCTAGTGCTTTGTGATCCAGGTTAAGTATTCAATATTAGGCCATTACCAGGTGGTATTTACACTACCTCTGTTTGAAGTTTACATCCGGCCCCTTTGATTGCTTTAAATTTGAGGTCATTCTTGGGCACGTGCCACCAAATCCCAAGCATTTGCAAATGATGAATTACTCCTTACAAACTCAGTGGAGTATATGTTACTTCTCCCTGAGAAGTAACCCACTTGAAGTGATGCGTTGGGTCAACTCTAATACCATTATCAAAGTATCCCTAGGGAGTACAACATTGGCTTATTTCATTTTAACATGCATATTTAGTTTATATCAAAGCAATATAATACACATAGTTTAAAAAAATCATATAGTACAACAAAACTTGGAAGAAAAGCAATAGATCCTGGCACCTTGCCCTTCTTCCACCTCCAGTACCAGATCATCTGTCTTGGCCTTCCAGCATAAGGCCATCAGGAGCACACCTGTCATTGAATAAGCAGGACTCATTACCCATTTCAGTGAGGGAAAACTCACACCACAGAGAAAGCTGGGGTGTCTCACGTAAAGGATGTTAAAAGGGACTTATAAAAGGATTTGGGCTTTGGGTTGACTCAGGGGAAGTCTCCTGCTCTGAATTGGATGCAGTCTAAAAGATATGATCTGTGATTGGGTATCTCAATAAGTCTTATCTATAGAGAGGGCAGACTAGAGCAATGCTAAAGATGAAATTGTTAGGAAGCAGTCCTCATATTAGCTGAGAGAGGTGAATGTTTAGTATTTTGTGGCTTGAACAATGCTCATGTGTTTAGATAAGATTCTAGTGTGATCTTCAGTTTGTTTTGATCCATCATAGTGATGATGTCCTGTGATTTTTTTAAAAATGTTTAACAGAATGCCAATACCTAGGTATGAGTGTCAGGACAGCTGGTAGCAATCCCAAGGCTTTGCTGGTAGTGCCAGGCTAGCTCCTGCAAGTCAGAGGTTGCTTTGTTCTTACCCATGTCTTTCCCCAGAGGCAATCACATTAAACTTTTTAGCAGTTTCTTCTAGCACTTACTTCTAGACTCCTAATAGTTTTTTGTTGTTGTTGTTTTTAAATATTTGATTTATTTTTAAATATTTGACTTCCTGCATAGAAATAACACGTTTTTCTCTCTTGTATCCACCCTACTATAAACATTCTCTATAAACATGCCTCCTGTACCCATCTTAATAATACACTTATATCACAAATTTTATTTTAAAGTAATTATAGGCATATTTATTATTGTAGCTATGTAAACACAGGTATTGATCGACTTATGACCTATGCAACTTACGACCATTCGACTTTACGACCACAATCGCTAGCCACGACTGCTCCGTGTCTGGCAGCGCAAACGTTGCCCAGCTGAGCATACGACAGTGCGAACCAGCTTCCGGCAGCACTGCCATCTCTGCGTGCACCATTTCAACTGTTATCCCGGACTTGGTACAGCAAACTCAACTTACGACCAAATCGTGTTACGACTGGTCTGTCGGAACCAATCGTGGTCGTAAGTCGAGCACTAGCTGTATTATTCATAACAGAACTATATAATACACTATAATTATATATTATTTTCTTTCAAATTTAGTTTTTCCAGGTTTTAATATTTCTTTTTTATTTCTGTTGCTAAATGATCGACAATTTTTTTCCTCCCATTCAGATGATGGCTGCAGTCTGGAATGGGAGCTTTCTAGGGCCACAGCACTGCTGTTGCCCTGGGACTTCACTTAAAGCACTTGATTTAGCGCTCTCTCTTTTGCTGGATTTTCCATTTCCTGACTCCAGAATCTTCTTTTTTCTTGTGTCATTCTGTTGCTTGTGATCGAATTCATCTGTGAGTAGCTTCCCAAAAATGGGTACACAGGAGATAAATAGTTTGTTATTTGCCTACCTGAACATGCCCTTTCTTTCTTTGCACACTTGAATGATACTTGGCAGAAACAGAATCCTGAATTGGAAAGAGGTTTCCCCTCAGAATAATGAAATCACAGCTTATTAAAATGCTAGGTCTTAGTGTTTCTGTTGAGAAGTTCAATGCCTTTTGATATAAATGTGACAGTTTTTCCCCTCTTTGGAGGCAACTGGAATGTTTGTCCTTGGTGTGAATTTGATATGACTGGTTATGATTATTTTTTGCATATATTGTTCTGGGATCTTTCTGTCTAGAATATCACATGCTTTAATTCTGAGAAATATTTCCATTTTTTTTGATAATTTCATTCATTCTGTACTCTCTTTCTGAAACTCATATTAGTGGGACCACCTGGATTTAACCTTTAATTTTCTTAACCTCCATTTTCTCCCTATTGCCCATCTCTTTGTCTTTTGTTTGATGTTTTAGGGAATTTATTCGACTGCTTTTTCTTTCCCATATTAAGAAAATTCTATTATCATAATTTAATTTCAGTGAGTCCTTTCTCATTGCTGCCCTTTGAAAGAAAATATTTTCTTGTCTTATGAGTGCATTATTTTTTCTTATCCTGAACTCTGAACATGCTAATTATAGATTCATCTGATATTTTCTCTTCCCTGTATTTGTTCTGTTTTGTTGTTTTTTGTTTTTTTTTTTCCCAAGTTCTTTATTTGTGTTTGTTTACTTTATTCCCTGGCTTTATATTAGAGGCTTTTTAAAATCCCAACTTGCTTGGTTCTTATTCCACTTAAAGTGAGGCCTGAAGAGCTAGTTTGGAAGCTTTATATGATGCAAAGCTTCACTGTGGATGATCTGGCGGGGGCAGAGCAGGCTTTGAGGGTAGGAAATAGGGAGAGGGGCACTGAAAGTTTCATTATCAGTAGGTTTTCTGATGGAGTGTTCAGTTACTCCACAGAGGAAACTTCTCATTTTCTGCCTGGGAGGTTATGCTTCCCAACCCATGTTCTTGGAGTTGAGCAGAAGAATAGAGTAGCACCTCATAATTTAACCTTGTAGAAATTCACTTAATCCTCATGGTCAGCATGGCACCCCTCCAGTTCTCTGTTCTGCTCAGCTTTGCTGCCACCATTTATTCAGAGAAAGTATCTAGCTTCTGATGGGTGGGAGTGAGATTGTTGCCTGGCTCTTTGGCTATGTGGGGCAGAAGAGAGGAATCTAGGAATCTACCTGCGCTCCAAATAGAGTTTCAACAAAAACATTTGTTTACAACCCTATGTTTACTTTTACTTTAAGAGGTCCCAAGTGTCTCTAATTCTGGGAATTTCTGAGATTCTGTGGAAAGAACTCACCTATTTTCCACTGTCTGAGTGCTTAGGTTTCAGCTCTATTCGATTATTTACCACTTGTCCATCTGCTTTTAGCCTTCCAGAAGTTTGTTGACATCTTTTGCCTATCATTCTATCATGCATTCTCTTTGTTTTTTGGGATTTATATATTGTTTTACCCTTTTATCCTTTTTTTCTTTTTTTCAGACAAAGTCTCACTTTGTTGTCCAGGCTGGAGCACTGTGATGCCATCTTAGCTCACTGCAACCTCTGCCTCCCATGGTTTCACCGTGTTAGCCAGGATGGTCTTGATCTCCTGATTTCATGATCTGCCCACCTCGGGCTCCCTATTTTATCCTTTTCAGTAGAAATCACAGATGGAATATATATCTAATCTACTTTGTTTAATCAGAAGTGCTAACTTTGATTTTGACCACTTGCTCTTTGAAACATTTTTAAATTGATAAGCACATTAGAATGTATAATTTATAGTTTTCTAGTGCAATAAGTTACCAAAGAAAACAATTCCTTTTCCTTCTCCTTCCACTCATCATCTAAATGTATGAGGTTATCTTAAACAGGCAAAAATGACTAGACCTTCAATATGAATTTTCAAAAGGGGAAAATTATTCTGGACTATATGTGCCAAAGTCTCTGACTTAGGCAACTACAGAAATTCAATGAAAATAAAATCACGACAGAACTAATAACATTGACTCATAATACTTCAGGCATACATAACTCTTTTGCTGACATCTGGCCTACCCACCACTACCCAGTATAAATGCCATGAAAAATAGCACTCTTTGTTACACTTCAAAACTTTATGGTCATGGTCTTCACATCCTGTTTGGCATTATAGCCTGTCCAATCTATTGCATGTTTTTATTTCTTTATGTAGTAAACCAGGAACTATCCTACTATTTGAATTTTATCTCCAATCCACTTAGATACTTTTAATGCCAAGAAAAACGGTTGCCTTCTTGACCACATAATGGTATGAATTCAAGACTGCTTAGTAACATCAGTGGAAGCACTGAATTCTCAGTAAGAAAGTAAAAGGGGTCATCATAACTTGTGGCAACAATGAAGATGTGAATCAAATGTTAAAACCATATAGATGAGTTTCTGCAGTTAACTTTTGTGGGTGTCTTGACTGCGATTGTCTGTTCTTTCTGTGGTTAGTGACATCAGTTAATGGAAAACAAGGTGCAGGAACATGCAGATGCGTGTTTTAACAAGTAAATGCGGCGTGGCCTGTGGTAGGTCTCACTTTGCAAATATTGCATGTTCTTAAGAAGCCAAACAGAGAACAAGTTTAAACCTGAGGAGAGCAAATGTGAATGGAATGGAGGAGAAGGTTTGGGTTTGTTTTTTCTCCCTGAGAAATAATTTTCCCACGTATCTAGAAATAAATGTAGACTAGTCAAGTGATCCAGTATTATTTCATTATCAGTTTTATTCAGTACTTAAAATGTGTTTGGTAAATTCTCCATTGGTCTCTTCTACTTCCAGGGATTCATTTACCACTTATTTACTGATGACACTCAAATATGCCAATATTATTCTAAATTTTTAACTTCAAACACATTCTAAGGAATTTCTCTGAGTTACCTCAAACTCAGCAAACCTAAAATTAAACAAATTATCTACCCATCAAGCCTAATGCCCCCCCTTAAATCCATCCTTCAATAGTCTTACTGTCTATGTAATCATCTAAGTTTAAAATTTTAGTCATATTCTAATACTAAGCATTGTTCTTATACCAGTGGTCAACAAATACTTCTCAATTAAATAAATGGATGCATTTTCAATGCTTTCTATTCCTTTCCCTATAATCTGATGGTTTGGTAAGTTTAGTGAGTTCTATCCACTATACTTCAAATCCCATCTCATGGCACCCCCTTCTCTCATCTGTTCTGTAGCTGTTTTAGTACAGACCTTCAAGCCTTCTAACTCTTATGTCTCTGCCATCTAAAGGATCTGCATCCCTGCAGCACAGATTTTATCACATTGCAACCTGATTCAAAAATATGCAATTTCTTCTCCTCACTCTCCACAATTACTGAACTCTTCATTTGCCACTTCTCCTGACTCATGAACTGAACCTTCCTCCAAAACTATACCTTTTCATTTTTGATCCTACCGTGTAATTTCATGCCTCCATGACTTTGATCATCTTATTTCCTATGCTGGAATGTCTTTTTTCTTTTACGCTCTAGCCTGCTTATCCTTTAGTTTCTAATTCAAACATCTGCCAGGCCTCTAAGCAGAATTACTTTTTTTACTCCTTAAAGCTATTATGAAACTTTTTCTTTATACTTCTGCTCTAGCTCTCAACACGGTCTAAGCTTTATGTTCATAATCTGTTCACGCATCTGTCTCTTGAAGTCCTAAAAAGGCCTGACCTCCAGCGCTTAGTCCCTGTCCCACAGTAAATGCTATAGGAAGTTTTCCAAACTGGCATGGAATTAAAGCCATGTGTACGTTATTATTGGGAATGATACATCTATTTAAGGCATAAGAGAAACAAAATAGAATTGAATGAGAAAGTCTTTAGCTTGAGAAGATTTAAATGATGCAATCCATGAAGTGATATGAAGTCATGTTGCAAAAAAGGTCCTTTTTTCAGCCAACAGAAGTTAACTGAAAAATAAGACACTTAGGAGAGAAGGAGCTCCTCTCCACTGCAGCCAGCAGTACTCAATACTGCTCTTTTCCTTTCCCTTCAAAGTCTTTGGAAGTCTTTAGGGCAGTGGCAGTCATTCTTCATTATTTATTCTCTGGGCTTGTTTTTCCCATCTTGTCTTCCAGGTGCCCTGAGTGTAGCTTTTAGAACTCCAGTGCTAAAGATGAGATAAAGTGCTGCCAGTGGCAGGGAAGCAGCCGGCTTCCCTTTGAAACACTTTCATTTCTTTCCAGTGCCCCTGAGGGAACGTGAGCCTCTCTGGAATGTCCTCACTGCCTTCTCCCCTTTGGTGTGGGTGTGTGTTCTCCCTTCCTTGAGTGGCGGGATTGGAGAAAGGGAAGCAGACTGTTCTGGTTTCCTCCAAATACCCCCAAGTGCTGTATGGCATAGCCCGTATACAGTGTGCTGGCTGGCAGATGGGCAGCCATGGGGAGAGCTTGTTGTATCTGAATTTTAATTACACATGGTAAAGACTCATTGCTAGTTTAGAGAGAGCTACTCTTCAGGTTTGCTTTCTTTCAGTGAAGGGCATTTTATCCAATTACGTAGAGGGAAATTATCACAGGCCAAGTTCCTATCTCAGTCTCTGCAGATTTGCCATATAAGATGCTAATTATACTTACCTAATGGCAATAGGCTCTGCTCCAGTAGAGGAATCTTTTTAAACTCTCGGTCATAAAACTATTCTACATATACATATTAATTAGAGTGAATTGTCAGGACCTCATATGTAACCGTATATCCAGCTTCAACATTTATTAATTCTTACAGCAAATTTTATACCTCTACCCCAAACCTATGCTCCCAGATTATTTAGAAGCAAATCAGATATCACATTATTTCATCCATAAATATTTTTAAGTATACAGGACTGCTATGGGCAATATTTTTTAAACAGTTTACCTTTGATTAATAAACTTCTTATCCTACCTGGGATCCATATTTTGTTGCCTCAAAACTTGAAAAGTGTTTGGGACTTACACAGTATATGGAATTTGTAAAACTTACATGGAGAATTGGATCGTGTGAGTTAGCTCTACCCCAGTGATTAATCTATTCTGTACACAATAGCATCCACGGTACAGGAACGCCCTTCCTTGGTCACATAGTAACTTCTCACTAGTCAACACTAAACTGAATAAACTATTATGTTGTGAGAAAGTACTTGGCTAGCTGACTTGGATCATCTCCTAGAGTTTAGGAGAAATAACCATCGCCAAGTTTGAATTTGCAAAACGTTTAGGCTTTGCTGTCAGGAGAGAACGTACCACTTTTGGATCATAAAATGGATATGGAATACATGGGCTCAGGTAAACTGGGCCAAATATTGAAGCAGATTTGGAGACAAAACCAGATGCTAAAGCAGGCACTCCTGGGTGATGACCTTTGTGAGGGGGCTGGTGGGGCCACTTGGATGGCCACTGTGGTCTTTCTGGGTCAGGAGCTCAGCGGGGCCCTCCACCAGCTGCTGGAGCACACGGCAGGCACCCTGCGTTCCACCTGCCAGCAGCTGTGTGTGCTGCTTGACAAGGAGAATCAATCTGTCTGGAGACAAGGCAAGTATTTTTTTTTTTTTTGGTCTATTCTTTCTTTAAGAAATATTGATTAGGGCAAGACCTGAGAGGGGTTATGAGCATACCAACAGGCTCTGATAGAGTTTCTGTCCACAAAAGACTAACAGTGTCATAGGGGAAATAAGTCGAGACAAATGCACAATAATGCCAGGGACATTGGGGCCAGTCCCATTAGAAACACATGAATGAAGTGCTTTGGGACTTCAGAAGCAGTCCAAATCCCATCTGTAGGGTGGGGAATTGAGAAGTTTGCTAGAACAAACGTGGCATTTAAGCTGAAGCTTAAAGAATGAATTGGATTTGTGCAGCAGGAAATAAGGAGCCTAGATATTTTTAGTAGGACCCAAGATTAAGAGACAGGAAAATGCAGGCCTAGTTTGAGGCAGAGCTAGTAGTGTGTGTGTGTGTGTGTGTGTGTGTGTGTGTGAGAGTGAATATAATATTCTATCTCTAAGGTCATTTCAGCTTAGACCTACTAATTGTGTAATTACTGGGAAGACTGGAGGGGGCTGGGACAGGGAATTGGATCCCCACATACTGGGGCTGGAGAGGGATTCTTGGGAATAGGTCCAGTTATGGTTGCAGAAAAATACAGTAAGGCAGGAAGAATGAGGAATCTGATGAATATAATCCTATATAACAACCATTACTCCATATAAGCATATAGGTGGTATCATGAAATCCAACTCTAAATAATGCAGTATCAAGATAAGTGGGCAGGTTCCATCTATAAGGAAATCCCAGGGTAGATGATATTAAGAAATTCAGTCCTAAAGGGCAAATAGTGGACATCAGGGAAATCTGTCCAAAGGCAGCATGACTGAGAATCCATCAGCTGGAGTCCATAATCAGATCTTTAGTCTCTGGAGGGAGTGGAACATGGTCCTTGGCAACATAACAGGACGAAGATGTATTCAGGAAAAACAAGGATTTGGCTACCAGAACAGGAGTTAAAGACAAGTTCTCAGGTATAAGACAGAAAACAAGTTGTCAGAACTGGATTCCAAAGAAAAGCCCAAACTAGTAAAGGGATGATTTGTTTTAAAAACACTAAGCTATGGGACCTTAAATTACATATTCTTTAGTTCAGAACAGAATTCTAAAGACTAGAGAGGTACTAAGCCTTCGAGAAGTCACCAGGTGACCTCAGTAGTGAGGAGAAGCAGGATGAACACATAGGAGGGTGAGAAGAATGAAGATGGAGTGAGAGATTATATCAGATTATACTGTGCTGAGAGTTTACTCCACAGGTTGACTTGATTTAGTAGGCTTTGAGTGTCCACTGTAGGTTCCAATTAGAGAATTGGTATGGTCAGAACTATTCTTTGAAGGACAAATTTGAAAACTATCATGATCACAAATTCATTAGGAGGAATAGTATAAACATAATCCAATTCTCATAGCAGTAAACTAGGCTCCAAAACATAGCTCTACATTGGCCAAAATAACAGAGGTATGGTATTTCTGCTACCCAAGCCTCCTCTGGAGTGTTCACCTAATTTTTGGCCCAGCATTTTAAATGGATCATTGATAAACTGTTGTACATTCATTAGCAAAAGAACAGTTCTCAAAATCATACCAAATGAAAAACAATCGAGGGAGATGTTGACTTCAGTTTTTATTGGGGGTGTGAGAGGTTATGACATCTGTCTTTAAATATTCAAAGTATCTTCATAAGAGGGATTAGATTTCCTCTTTGCTACCATATTCAAAGTGTTTTGTTGTCAATCAGACAATGTTAAAGGAGTGACAGTTGTACAATGACTTCTCCTTCAGGAAGTTGGCTTAAATGCCTAGTAAAGGTCTTTGTTGGTTTCTCTAATTATCTTGCCATGTCTCATTAGATGGCAGTGCAGAAACATAATTTGGCTTAGTTTTGTATTTATTCTTTGTGTGTCTATGTATATGTGTGCAGAAATCATTGCTTTCGTAGACTGCCTCATAAAAATAACTGAACATTTGGGGAGCACTGCTGCACTTCTAAAGAAAGAAGAAAAGGAGATGTGTAATTTATGCGGCATGCATGATGACTGTACTCCACAGCAGACAATGTCCTCCATTCAAGACACGAAAGCAGCCTACATTGCTGCAAGAGGGGAACCAAATGCCATAGAAACAGCTACTGTTTCTCCCAAAAATGAAGAGGAAAGTCATTACACAAACCAGGTCCAGTTAAAAGAAAATAAAACACACATGAGTTCAGCATTAGGGGAAAAAGAAAACAATACGTCATTGAATGGACTTGTAACGGGGCAAGAAGAGTCACAGAACAAAATGTTCCCAGATAAGGCAGACAATGAAGATGAAAAAGAAATAGAACACATAACTGTTGAGAACATAAATGGCAACAGGGAAGAGATTCGTGGCATAATCCAGACAACAGAGAGAGAAATTCAAGAGACCTCAGAAAGCCAAAGAGAAGAGATGACCACATCCTCAATAATATGTGATATCTCCAAGAAATATATAAATAGTACTCTTCCCAATGATTCAGAGAATATAAAGCACAAGCATAATATAATGGAAAAGGAGTAAGTAAATGCAATGTGAGAAGTGCGTATATGTGTGTTTCTATAGTTAGTACATGTCTTAGTTCATTCAGGCTCTTATAACAAAACATCACATAGTGGATAGCTTTGAAGCAGCAGATATTTATCTCTCACAGTTCTGGGGGCTTGGAAATCCAAAATCAAGGTGCTGGCAGATTTGGTGTCTGGAGAGGGCTTTCTGGTTCATAGAAGGTGCCTTCTTGCTGTGTTCTCACTTTGTGGAGAAAGTGAACGAGGTCACTTGGGCCTATTTTATAAAGGCATTAATCTCATTCATGAGGGCTCCATCTTCATGACCTAATCATGTCCCAAAAGGTCTCACCTTCTCATACCATCACCTTGGGGGCCAGGGTTTCAAAGCTGAATTTTGGGAGACATAAACATATAGACTATAGCAATATGCATACTATTTATACATGAATAAAATTTCCATTTCATACTTCCCAAAGATATTGTAAATCAGTAATTCAGCTTAAATCACTCCTATAAAAATTGATATGGCCACTATTATTAATATTGTTTATTTCTTACAGCTTTAAGAAACAAACACATTTCATTTTTTCTTTAAAGAGAAAGAAATTGAGTAGTTAGGAAAGTAGTTAAAATGAACAATTGTCCAGATCACGAAACACTTTGCAAATTGCTACTATTTCAATTATAATAAGAAAGACTAGAAGACTACAGAGTGTTAGAAAATTTGGAGAGAATTTTTTAGCTTCAGATTTACTTTATTTATATTCTCAAGAAAATCATTATGAGTTTTAAACTTGTGTCTATAGAACTCTAGGGAGTTCCTGGATGAGCTTTGGGAAGTTCTTAAAATTAAACATGTGTGTTCAGAACGATTCCATTTCCTCAGATATGGTCATCAGATTCTCTAAGAGAGTCTGTGACTTCAAAAAAGTGAGAAAGACCAATCTATTTTATAAATCTTTTCTCCTGTGCAAAGAGATAATAAGGCCCTATTGACCATATAAAATAAGATATTCACAGACCATATTTTCCCAGACAAACATAACACCCAAATTGTTTTGGGAATCAGACAAACTTAAATGTCACCTTCTGTTTTATTATACACTAATTCCTTGACCCTAGGCAACTTGCTTCATTTTTTAGCCTCATTTTCTTGTTTGTAGAAATAATATATACATCCTGGGATCATCTGGTAAGATCAAATGAGAAAATCATTTAAAGGACTTAGCACTAGGCCACGTTTTTAGATATTCACACCCAGGTAAATGCTAGTCTATTGATTTATTTTAGCCCCAAAACCCCCCACTTTCTTCACCTGCCACTCACTATTATCCTTCAATTCCCCCACCTCTGCCGTGACGTGCTGATGCTCTTTCCGGTTTACGATACCATTTTGAGGACTATGATCTTAAGCAAGTCATTTTGCTCATCTTGACCTTAGTTATCTCGCCTATAAAATGAAGAGGTGGTTCTAATTTAGCTGTAAGGTTTGTACAGGTCAGAGTCTGATGAATTCTATGGATGAGGATATTCAGTGCATGATATACCTACAGGATTTGTAAGAATTACCGCTCCGAACAAACAACTGCTAAAGTAGTCAGTATGTGGTTACCTAGTCTCCCTTGAGAAAAGCATTGAGGCTGCATATTCGCACATTCAGAAATGACTCAAAGCATCTGTTAATGAGTCATTGCCTGAACCACTCCCTCTAACACCTCCTTTAGGTGTTTCCTGGTTAGCGATTTCCTCTTTGCAGCACCCAAACCAATTGTGCTTGGTTTGTGTATTTGAGAAGTTGAGTACTCATTGCAATCCCTCAGCCTAGGAAGCCATCAGACCACATAAAGGATGTGTGTGATAAATAGAACCTCACTCAGAATCTGTTGTCAATTCCCCCAGATAGCTTTCTGAAAGAAACCTATCTCTTCTTAGGTGTCCTGGTGTATACACAAAGGGAAAACAAGGCTAGAATAAACCAGTGTGATTACAGTCATCTGTTACTTAATGATGGGGATATGTTCACAGCAATGTGTGGTTGAGTGATCTTGTCATTGTGCAAACAATGCAGAGTGTGCATACACAAATCTCGATGGTATAGCCTACTGCACACCTAGTCTATATGGTAGAGCATATTGTTCCTAGACCACAGACCTGTACAGTATGTTACTATACTGAATACTACAGGCAACTATAACACAATGGTAAGTATTTGTGTATTTAAACATACCTAAACAAAGAAAAGGTACAGCAAAAATACAGTATTATAATTTTATCGGACTACTATTGTATGTGCAGTCCATTGTTGACTGATACGTCTTTATTTAATTTAAAAAATTCTTAGTTTTTAAAATTTCAATAGGTTTTTGGGGAACAGGTGGTATTTGTTTACACGAATAAGTTCTTTAGCAGTGATTTCTGAGATTTTGGTGACTCCATCACCTGAGCAGTGTACATTGTACTCAGTGTGTAGTCTTTTATCTCTCACCTCCCTCCCACCCTTTCTCGGGTCCCCAAAGTCTGTTGTATCATTTTTATGCCTTTGCATCCTCATAGCTCAGCTCCCACTTATAAGTGAAAACACACAATGTTTGTTTTTCCATTCTTGAGTAACTTCATTTACAGTAATGATCTCTAGTTTCATCCAACTTGCTGTGAATGCCATTATTTCATTCTTCTTTATGGCTGAATAGTTGAATAGTATTCCATGGTGCATATATATATATATATATATGCGCCATGAAATACTGTTGTTTTATATATATGTTATATATAGTTTTATATATATATGTTATATATAAAACATATATATATAATACATATATATATATAACAATTTATTAACTTGATTGATGGGCATTTGGGCTTGTTCCATATTTTTGCAATTGTGAATTTTGCTGTTATAAACATGAGTATCCGTATATCTTTTTCATATAATGACTTATTTCCCTCTGAGTAGATACCCAGTAGAGGAATTGCTGGATCAAATGGTACTTCTCCTTTTAGTTCTTTAAGGGATCTCCACACTGCTTTCCGTAATGGTTGTACTAGTTTGCATTCCAACCAGCAGCGTAAAAGTGTTCCCTTTTCACCACATCCACACTGACATGCATTTTTTTTTTTTAAGTTTTTGATTATGGCCATTCTTGCGGGAGTAAGGTGGAATTGCATGGTGGTTTTGATTTGCATTTCCTTGATAATTAGCGATGTTGAGTATTTTTTCATATGCGTGTTAGCAATTTGTATATCTCCTTTTGATAATTGTTTATACATGTTCTTAGTTCACTTTTTTATGAGATTGTTTTTTTCTTGTGGATTTGTTTGAGCTCCTTGTAGATTCTGGTTATTAGTCTTTTGTCAGATATGTAGATTGAGAAGATTTTCTCCAGCTCTGGGGGTTGTCTCTTTATTCTGCTGGTTGTATCTTTTGCTGTATACAAGGTTTTTAGTTTAGTTAAGTCCAATCTATTTTTGTTTTTGTTGCATATGCTTTTGGGTTTTTGGTCTTGAAGTCTTTGCTTAAGCCAAGGTCTAGAAAGGGTTTTCTGATATTATCCTCCAGAATTTTTTTATGGTTTCAGGTCTGATGTAAGTCCTTGATACATCTTGAGTTGATTTTTGTATCAGGTGAGAGATGAGGATTCAGGCTTATTCTTCTAACTGTGGCTTGCCAATTACTCCACCATCATTTGTTGAATGGGGTGTCCTTTCCCCACTTTATGTTTTTGTTTACTTTGTTGAAGATCAGTTGACTGTAAGAATTTGGCTTTATTTCTGGATTCTCTATTCTTTTCCATTGGTCTATGTAGCTATTTGTATATCAGTGCCATGCTGTTTTGGTAACTACCTGCATAACCGTATTTTAGTGTCTAGCCTAGATCTATTTGTCTAGGGCTAGAGAAAATGGAAGCATTTAAAAGTCTCCTTGCCTTCCTTCATCTGTCAGTTGGGAAACATACCTCCTGGAAGAAAAGTGTATTAAGGTGATTTCCGAAGCACAGAGGAGAGTCATTCCTAAAGTTATGCAATGCTAGGTCACTGTATCCTCTATTAAACGATGTTTCTCATTTTCTGAATTACTTTTATCACCATCACCAAATAATACTCAAGCAGAACAATGTGCTGGGTCATTTTCTATTCCTTCTAACTATGATTGGAAAACCTCTAAAATCTCATTATTCTAGAGGTAGACATTAATGCTATGTTATATATAGATCCTCTTATTTCTCTTTAACATTGCCTGTATCTCAGTCATTTCTCTAGTATACAGGAGAAGTAATAAAAAACAGGAGGAACTCAGGCAGGGGAGCATCACACACTGGGGTCTATTGGTGGGGGGCTGGGGAGGGACAGCGAGGGGTAGGGAGGGTAGGGAGGGATAACATGGGGAGAAATGCCAGATACAGGTGATGAGGGGATGGAGGTAGCAAACCACCTTGCCCTGTAAGTACCTATGCAACAACCACGCATGATCTGCACATTTGCACATGTACCCCAGAACCTAAAGTACAAAAAATAGGAGGAAGTCAAGCTGGTAATTTTAATGTAGAAATCCAGCATTTATTGAGTGCACATCTTAGTTCAACACATTATTATAAGTCTAAATGTTTTATCTCATTCAGTCTTCACACTATTGTGAATTAGATATTAGTTTCAATTTGCAATGAATAAAGTAACCAGCACTTTTAAATGATTTGCAGAATTAAGATATTATATTTAAGAGTCTGGACTTTCATATTAAAGATAGATGGAGCCTATTATCTGTTCCAAAACTTACCATCTGTGGGATCTTTAAAAAAGTTAAATTTTCTAAGCCTCCATTTTTTATCTGTAAAATACTTATGTTAGTAGTACATGACTAACACAATAGTTGCAAGAATAATGCATAGCCTAAAAACTACTTAACAGAAAGGTTCAAAATATTAGCTATTTTAATAATAATTGTTAATGAGTAAGGTCAAGTTAATAGTGATTGATCTCAAATTTGAATTCAAATCTATGACTCTAAAAACCTTGGCAAAATTGATGGTTAAAAAAAGAGCAGAATGAATGATCAAAATAAGATTTTGGATTGATTTTTGGGGATTGTATGTAATCTTTTCCTGAATTGCTATGACTAATGATAAATTCACAGTTCTTTTGTATCTTCCTCAGCTTTTCTAAAAGTATATAATCATCATCATCATTTGACCTAGTTTGTTTAGACAATTCCAATACTTCATATATGTTTACTCCCTCTCCTCACAATTGAAGAAACTATTCAGGTGTTAGCAGTTGTTTTGCCAAAAAACTTTAGCTATCTTCAGCTTCTTATTGTGGAATGAATCAATGGCTTAAATAACAATAGTAACAAAAGTAATTACAGCTAACATACAGAACACCTATAGTGTACCAGACACAGCTCTAATTACTTAACATGTAATGATTCATTTAATCCTACTCCCATGGGATAGGTATTATGTTATCACCATTTTACCATTGAGGAAACTGAGACATAGAGAGGCTGAGTATCTTGCCCAGGGTCACAGAGTTGATCAGTGGGAGAACTGGAATTCACACAAAGACAGTGTAGATTTAGTCTGTGCATTTCTGCATTTAGCTGTAGAGTACATAAATCAAATTGGAAAAATGACTTTCTTTTTCCCCTCCAGGTATCTTGATGTGCCAAGTGATGATGCTGACCCCCAAGTGTCTTGTTATATTACAGCACCATCATACGTTCTACAGCAACTAGAATGCCGGATAATAAATAACATGAGTTCTTTAATAGTAGGTGATAATGAAGAGTTGGTTAGTAATGTCATAACTGTTGAATGCTCAGATAAGGAAAAGAGAATTCCATTTCCAATAGGCATTGCAATTCCATTCACTGCACGGTACAGAGGAAATTACAGAGATATCATGGTGAAGGTATGTGACTTAAACCTTCAATCAAGTTACCTAAACCCAAATTCACTGGAAGGAATAAAGGGAGGTTATAAGGTTAGTGAATTCTTGGCTATATCTACATTTGCTGTTTGGCTCGTCTTCTAAATATTACTCAGACTAATAGATTGTTGTGTAGATATAATTGCTCCACTAGTAATAAATGGAAGGAGGTATGGATTTGTGCCAGGGCATTCACAATTTATTGCCATCCATAAAGATCAAAGGACAGAAATGATTGGCCAAAGTTAGGAATGGAGAGATTGAGTCTAGCACCTACCAAATGTTATTTCTTTTTCACCTGGGAAACAAAACCAACATCATGGCTTAATTACTTTTGTGCTGTAGACTAACTTCAGACCAACATTTCTAGTATGATGGAATCCCCAGATGATAATAGCTCTATTTTTTATCATTCTCGGGTTGAGAAAACATATAAAAAATTTAAAAATTCGTGTATTTGTGTGTATGCCTTGAGATTGTTAGTAAGTCCATAAATGAAATTTTGTCTATACATGGAAGAAAGTATATGTGGTAATAGCTAAGAAGTGGGCTGTAGGAGAATATTGGTCAGGATTGAAATATTGTTCTACACTTTCATGCTGTGTGAACTTGGGAAAATTATGTAACCTTGCTGTGACTCAATTACTTCATCTCAAAAATGAACATGATAATAGTGTCTACCTGGTATGGTTGTAAGGATTAAATAGATAATACACTTATGAAGATAGAAGGAAGCCTATAAACACAGGTTTGTTGTTAATACATTATCATTTTCATGTCAGATTTTAATTTTAACAACTCAGAGGCTCTGTATGATCACAAACTCATATGCTGTGAAGAGATAATATAACAACTATTAAATTTAGTATGGAGTTCATAGAGACTAATATTTTAAGTTTTTCTTTGAGCCACTGAAATTGTTTTTAAGCAATTAAAATGTTTATCTTTTTCAGCTTTATGTAAGTTGTCATTTGATGAGGAGGGCAGATAATAAATGTAAAAAAATCCATATATACATATAATTATTTATTACATATTTATTTTCTGATTTTTATGTTTTCTGGGTTTCAAGCAAGGTTATATATAGTTGAAAATGAAAGCTAAGCCTATTCCATTGACTTATTCCAATTCCTGCAACTAATACATTTTATATTTAGTCTCAGAAGTTTATAGGTATGATAGTCTAATCAGCATTGCCCTTGATTGGGGCTCTTATATTTGTAACTATCATAATAAAAGCAAAAACTATATACAGCCCATTTGTCACAAAATGAGTTTGGGGGATGTTTAGTAAATGGATAATTGAAGCAGAGAGAGAGAGAGAGAGAGAGAGAGAGAGAGAGAGGAATAGAAAGAGAGAGAGGGAATCATTATCATAACAAATATAGGCATAGACTTTTCACTTTATAGTAAGAAAAAAATTTACATTCTGGATTACTTCCAAATTTTTATGTGGATTGTATGACATTTTAAAATTCTAATTATTTAAAAACCCTTTTGGGTTTTCAGTATCTATAAAATGCGATCTAAGGGCACAGCAACCACCGTTGGTTTCTAGAAGATCTTTCTTTTTCACCTCTCACAATTTTCCCTCTGGCCAGTTAACAATGTTCAACATGCCCTGAATTTTCCCAGAGACAGATTCATTCAGTGATATTGTGAAATCTCTGCCTTAGTGAGCTTTCAAATGGTAGACTATTTTCCACTGTGATTGTCCCAAAATGTTTTTTTGTGTGTGAGCATGATTATCCATTCATGCTGGGGCAGAGCCTGGCTGTTGTTTGGGGAAGTATGAATAGACCAAATCACTTCTAAGTCTGCCTCCTCATTTTAAGCTTTGGTGATTATAGGAAAAGATCATTTTGTTTTCATTTATGTATGCAGTTCCCCTTTGTGCAATATAAAAACTTGAGTATGTGTCTGTATATATGCATTACAAATTTGAATGTCACTATATAAAGAAGAAACACAAATGCCTTCGTCATTTGCTCCCACTGCACAGAAGACAGACATAGAGAAGATGACTTTAATTGGGGAACCTAAGATATGCTACTAGAAGAAAGAATTTGCTGACAGTACAGGTGTTGTAGCATTTGAGCAAACTACCCAAATAATGAAATTCCAGTCCTTGGAATTCCCTAAAACAGTATGGAATGTTTTGGATAAAGGTCAGTATTTAAAATCCATTCTCACTAATGGAGGTTAGAATTCCAGAAATAATAATATTTGTGAAAACACTGAAAATAATTACCCATTATACACACAATGTTGAAGAAAGATTTAAAGAAATACGTTGATTTCTGTTTTTTATTGTGTAGTCTAAATTCAAGAAACTCTTACCTATTTCTATGTAATCTCATAAAATGACCTTCCATTTTAAGTTAGTGGAATCATTTCAAATTGTAGGTGATTACATCAAGAGTGTATAGATTTTTGTGACAATTCAGAGAGTCTAAACAGCAAGTATTTTTCAAATCAGTGCTATAGCTTGTTTTAATGTTCTTTATTCTATACAGGGGACCTGTGCTGCAGTTAAAGTTTACAAATTGGGTATCTTTTCCGTTGTGTCTTGTTTAAAGAAAGAGTCATTCACAGTAACAAAGAAAGGCCTCACACTTAAGGCAAGCATGGATTCCCGAATATCCTTAAATTACCCTCCAGGAGTTTTTAGCTCTCCAGTACTTGTGCAGTTAAAGGTAAACATATTAAACATTGGTGAGTTCTCGCTCATAGATTTTGTGGGTCACCAAGCATGGTTCTAAAGAACAAAGAAGGTACCAATATTTGATATAACAATACATAGGTTATTTTCTTGTAGTTGTAATGGCCTAATATATAGTGATATCAGCGATAATGTAATGATGTTGAGCATGTTAAATCTCATTTAAAAAAAGAATCTTCTTTTTATGAGGAAGTTTTTCCCAGTTAGTCTTTTGTGTTGTTTTGTTTACTATTGGAAAAATTTATGTTGCATAGCTATGAAAGAATTGATTATAGACTTTGGAAAATTCATATATAACTCAAAGATTTTGATCACAGAGGATGACAAAAAAGTGGATAATCAATTAAAGTTTTATTATTATAAATATTTGGTTGTATTTAATTATGAACAGCCCTTTTTGGGGAATAAGGATTTAATATATGCAAACACTATTTGCAAATGGCATGTCAATGCATATTTTATAAGACTTATTTCCTCAAATAATATTCCTTGTCCATCTAGCCTCTTTCCCCTCCCACACTCTCCTTTCTGGTTCCCGCAGTTGTTAATATAAGTGGTAACTAAAGAAGAATGATTAGGAAGAAAATACATAATAAATATCTTATTTGTAGATATTTTCCATGAACTTTGAAATTTTGGAATCATCTTAGCTATTTTTTATTTTTAATCATTCTTATGTGAAAGGAAACAAGTAAATATAGTCATGTTTTTCTAGTTTCTAAAGATCAGTTGATCTAACAAAAGTTCTAATTAGAAATTATAAAACATCTATTTTGTTTTCTAGGTCATTTTGTTGCCTGCAATTAAGTGTGTTTCTTAGCTATTTATAACATTAGACAGGGAACCCAGATTTCAGAAAGACTGTAAAAAGGGCCCAAATACTGTGTTCTTTTATACATTATGAATATTTTATAAAATGCAGTGTTGATTACTGCTAACAATGTATAGAGAAATGCATAAAACTGTGCTCTGTAGAATTTTTTAAAAACTGGTTTAGAAATGTACCAATAGTTTGCCTCTTTTCTATTACAATATAAGAAAAATATGTATTTTTTGTTTAGATCCAACCAGTTGACCCAGCTCTGGTGGCACATTTAAAAGCACAGCAAGACACTTCCTACTCAGTACTATCCACAAGCCCTCTGATTCACATTCAGCACCCATCAACTTATGCTTTTCAGAAGCCAGTCACTGTATTTTTACCTTGTTCTCCATATCTTGGTAAAAACAGTCTTGGGTCTGAGATAGATCATAAAAGAACAGTGAGTGCCACAACAAATAGGATTACACCTTCATATTTCAACAGGTGAGTAAGTTTCTAATATTGTGAACTGGCTTCATGTCAAACAAAGAAGCTTAGATGATTAAAACTTTCAAGTGTTGTGTATTCAAATTATGTATTAAAATATTGTGAAATATCTTTAAACTAGAAATAAAATATTGTGGGTCCACAAAAGATAATAATTATAGCTGTTATGGACCCAAAAATTCCCACAAGCATAAAGATAAAGATGGAGACTATAAAAACACTAACAGAAATGCATGCTGGGCATGGCGCATTTTCAAACCTTCAATCTATTCTAAGCACTGGAAATTCCGTCAGCACAGGTAGGAGAAGGGCATTCCTTAGTCCAGAGGAATTATTCTCAGTAAAAATGGCTAGATGCTGACAATTGAATCAGTTATTATACAAAAGGATATTGTCTCTAGATTCAAGAAAGAAATTTGAATAGCTATCAAACTAAAAATGGTAGACGAGCATTCATTCAAGGGTAAGAAAAAAAGCAGAGTGCTACACGGTGTTTTAGGAAAAGCATATCAATATCAAGATTTCTAAAGAATATCAAAAACAACAATAAAACACAAACATGTAGAAATACAAAGGAAGAGAGCATCGTTTTGATGTTTCACAGACATTTGAATAATGAGAATTAAAGTTTGCCTGGAGAATATTAAAGAAACCTATTTTATAAGTTTAGTTGTGGCCAATAAGCATAATTGCCAAGAAACACTAGCAGAAAGTCATCAGAATAGAAGAAGAAAGAATGAAAAGACAGAAGGATGTGATATAAATATAATAAGCTGAGATGAAAAGGGACCAAAATATGATAAGGAGTCATTTCAAAGTGCTACAACCTAATAATGATAGGTACCATTGAAAAAGAGGCCAAGCAATCACAGAAAAAGCAATAATGAAAGGTGTCAGTGAATTTGATGTTTTGATGTTCTTTAAAGCCTCAAGTTAAACGTGCTGATTCTTTATTAGGAAATATTTGTGAAAAACACCCATGACATAGCATGACAAACTGAAATGTAGGTTTAAATAAAACATAATTCCATAAGCATCTATTCACCAGAAACAGATTATGTAAAAAAGGAATGAAATCAGTCTGCTGTCAGTCATATTCTTTGCAGCACTAACATTAGGAAAAAAAAAAATGAACCAAAAACTTCTAAGTTCTCAAGTTCTCAAAGATCAAGATTGAGAAATTAGGGTTTTCATCCTACAAACACGTCATTTTGTTTTTGTTTTGTTTTTAAATAGAAGGGCTCTCAGAATGAACTACTCACATATTTTTAACAAAATAAGTAGATAAAATTAATAGGCTGACTTAATAAGATTCAAGATATTGAGAACAAGCAAGTATTATTCTTATTTTTAAAAAATTGATATTAAGCATAAATAATATAAAAGCAAAAAAATTTCAAAAGTAAAAACTTACATGACAGAGAGAGAAAAGAAAGAAAATAAACAAAACCCTAGCAGGGTAGTATGTGTCTACTTTTAAGAGCAAGTTTAAGCAAGATAATATAAATAAAATAAAGAGGACAATAAATAGAGTTAAACATAATTTATACTATTGTTCATATTTCTTAGTCATCCTTTGATATTCTTAAATATTTTATATGATGTGCTTGGGAGATTTCCTTAGATTTATTATATACATTATTAATTCTTTATCATTTGTTTAAATTGTTCATTTTATTCACTGTAATTAACATTTCTAAAAGGTTAGTGCATTTTCCAATCTGCTTCATTGTTTATACTATGCTTTATATAGCTGATCCTTGAACAATGAAGGGGGATTAGGGATGCCAACCGCCAAGCAGTTGAAAATGTGTGTATAGCTTTTGACTCCTCAGAAACCGAACTATGTAAAGCCTACTGTTGACCAGGAGAAAAGCCTTATCAATGATACAGTCTATTAACACGTATTTTGTAAGGTATTTGTATTATATACTGCTTCCTATAATAAAATACACTAGAGAAAAGCAAATGTTGTTAAGAAAATCATAAGAAAGAGAAAATATGCTTACGATTCATTAAGTGGAAGTGGATCATCATAAAGGTTTTCATCCTCGTCATCTTCATGTTGAGTAGGCTGAGGAGGAGAAAAGAGAGCTTGGTCTTGCTGTCTCAGGAGTGGCAGAAGAGCAAGAAAATCTGCATACAAGTAGACCCACAGAATTCAAACCTGTGTTGTTCAAGGGTCCACTGTATTTCTTCCTTTATTCCTTTAATTATTTAAGTATACTTATTTTACGGTCTTTTTTTAGATTGCTCTATCATCTATCTATGAACATGATAACACTAAATCATCTATCTAGGAGCATAGAGTAATCTCGCAGACTTTCATACCAATTCTGTTCAATGGCTCTTACCCTTAGACATTCATTTCCAAGTATTAATTTTAATTTTTGATCAGATGTAAAGTCAGCTCTTCTCCCCACTTTCCCGTCAAGCTGAAGCAGTTAATTTTTTGTGTGTGCTTCTTGAATACTTTCTTGAGTCAACAAGCCAAAGGGTTTTGGTTATTGCTACCAATAACCAAATAGCCAGAGAGGATCATGCCCTTCTGAGATCCCAGCTTCGTGATAAAGCTGAGATCCCGGCTTGCTGTTCAAGCTCCCTTACTGCCCAGCTGGAGGCTGTATCCTATGCCCAGGAATACATTTTAAAAAGTACCTCCAACCCCTGGCACACGGGCATGGTTGGGGTTGCGAAGAAGAGGCTGATGGGGAAAGAAGCAACCACAGAATTAATTCCTTGAGTTCCCTAGTGAAGAAAGAGAATTCTTGCTTTTTAGATCCTTGAGTCCAAATCTAGGGGGGATTTCTTTTTCAACTTTTGAGTTCACATAATCGTGTGTATGCTTGTGTGTGTGTGTGTGTGTGTGTGTGTGTGTGTGTGTGTGTGTGTATGTGACATTTTGTCCAGAATTCCTGTGGAGTTGGAAAATGGCTATTTGTCATCAAATTGGCCAAGTTGCTAGAAACTGCCACTCTTTTTGCCTTTGCACATAATCTCTTTCCTAGGAAATCTTTCTTCTGCCATATTTAGCTGATAAACTCTTGTCCATTCTGTAAGTTACAGTTCAATTCTTTCTTTTTCTGTCAGATATCCTAAACTATCTAGGAGGAATCAAGTGCTCTTTTTTGTGCCAACCCCATCCTTTGTATACATCCTACATTCCACTGTAGTAATAATATATATTCTCTTTTACATGCCATCACTTAGCACAATTGAAACACAGTAGGTGCTAAAAACATTAGGTAAATTACATTAATGAGTACACTCATGAAAATGTAAATTGTATTGCAAATTCATCTGCATCTGCACTTTTTGACTATGTTAAATTGATACATGACAACGTGCTATGTTGTTATTAATCTCATAGTAGGTACATTTTTTTCCATCTAGTGGAGCATAAAACAAGCAAATGTGAGTTCATCTCAACTGTTTATTTAACATTCTTTCATCAAAGAATGAAAGGCAGTTGGACATTTTGTATGAAAACAGAAACACCAAAAGCAATCCATACCCCATGTAATGAAAAAGATAAAAGCTATTTGAGGCCAAAACATAGTCTGAATATTAAGAATAAAAGGTCTGTATTGTGTTATATGCCTTTATGTCTGAGTGGTTTTTAGGGAAAATATAGAGTCATTTAATGATAAGCCAGAAAAGATTCCTCATAGCAATAAAGGGGAAAAATACTTGATTAAATAGGACCTTATTCCATACTATACAATCAATATTTTAGAGAATTAGACAGGAAAATGGTTTTGCCTATGAAAAATGAGTTTTTCTGCATAATGCAATTGTTTTTAAGATTCACTTGTTCAAATTCAATATGCGATTTACACGCAAGAATATTTATAAAATATACATAAGTCATACCACATAATGAAATGGACAACTGGTAAAGCTACTGTCAAACAATAAATTGATCATTATGGATAAAATTATCAGTCTTCTTATTTGCCCCACCTCAGTCCATCCCCTTTGTCCTCACTGCAGTAACTCATCCCCACCAAATGTAACCACTGTTCTGAAATCTTCAATCACTCCTTTGCTTTTATTTATTTCTTTGTTTGATCACATATACTCAAATTCATCCTAACACATCTTCTCTTGCAGCACTCTGTAGGTTAAAGTTGACTCACTATGGTTTGCTGTGGGAGACGGCATAGTTCACTGGGGGTCATCTTTGGAGACCATCTACTGCATTTGCTACTAGTTGCTAGGGTGAAAACGATTTTTTTCCCATTTCTTTGGAGATATTATGTCACCCTTTATTGCTGTTCTGAATACCGCAGTGGATGTAATTATCATAACTTTATGGATGATCTGCTTTATTTCGTCTGCTGCTTTCAAGATCTTTGCACTCAGTGTTTTGCGGTTATCTATGATGTATCTAGATACAAGTTTTAAAATTTTTCTGAATGCAATATATTATGCTTCCTGAGTAGGTAGATGTATGCCTTTTCACATTTCTGAAAAGTTCTTATGTGCTTTCTAATCAAATGCTGGCACTTCTCCATTGTATGTACTCTGTCCTTCTGAGTTTCCAAATAGATGTATATATGACCACCTCTTTTTAAATTCCATATGGCTTTACTTCCCTTATGTTTTCCATCTCACTATCTCTATGTGCCATATTCTGTGCAATTTATTCACATTTCAGTTTCAAATGACAAAAATAATGCATACCTTAAAAATATACTTTTAATCTGTTATTTGTGTTATTGTTTTAGATAATTATATTTTTTATTTCTTAAAGTTCTATTTTCCCAGCTACTCAGGAGGCTGAGGTGGGAGCCCAGGGGATCAAGGCTGTAGTGAACCAAGATCATGCCACTGCACCCCAGCCTGGGTGACAGAGTAAGACCTTGTCTCAAAAAAAAAAAAAAAAAAAGAAAGAAAGAAAGAAAGAAAGTAAAGGAAAAAAAAGTTCTACTTGGCTCTTATTTAAATCTCTCGAATTATCTTTATAGTTTATTTCTGCCTGCTTATTTTTTGGA